CGTACCATGAGGATAACACTGGTACCAATTTCCTGGGGCTGTTGTGAGCATTCAACGTATGACACACGCAAACGTGCTTAGCACACAGTAACGCTGAACAGATGCCGATCATTTCACATAGGCCCACAGGAAACTCAGCAAGATCCACTGACCAACTCTATAATCAGGGAATGTGTTAGCCATTTCATCAAGTACTCATGTTATCACTAAATCGGAAAGCAAATACTCCCGTGCCCTTAATCCAACTACTTTCATGTCTCTTTCGGGGGGACGCAGGGGTGTTGCTTTTCATCCCTGCTGCAACAACCAATTTCAATACTCAAGGTTTTTAGAAACTTCTGCATCCAACTCACAGTTCTTTTTCGGAGGGAAGAAGAGGGGGTAAAATATACGAAAACTCAGGTCAAGATCACACGTGACATTGCAACCTTGGAAAAACAGCTCGTATTTTCTTACAGAAAAGTATCCTGTATGCAGTGAGCCTAACAAGATGGAAAGCAATGCATACCCCGTTTATTCTGTTTAAAGAATTAGGCCAGGCAAGGTGGCTCACGCCTGTAATCCCAGTACTCTGGGGGGCCCAAGCAGGCGGATCACCTGAGGTTACGAGTTCGAGAACAGCTGGGCCAACATGGTGAAACCCATATTCTATTAAAAAATAAAAAAAATAAAAAATAAAAACAAATCGGGCATGGTGGCGTGCACCTGTAATCCCAGCTACTTGGGAGGCTGAGGTGGGAGGATGGCTTGAGCCCAGGAGGCAGAGGCTGCAATGACACATATTCAGGCTACTGCACTCCAGGCTGGGCGACACAGCGAGACACTCCCTCAAAAAAAAAAAAGAAAGAAAGAATTAAGCTCCCATAAAACAGGGAAGGGCAGAAGGCTTGGGATCTTGCCCACACTTCTTAACTCGAGGCGGCCCTGAGTAAGGGAGGCTTTTAAAGAGATGGAGCAACAAAACCACCAGGAAACCAGGCAACACTATGCTACATGGGTAAGCCTTTCCCTCAGGAGCTCAGGGACTCCGTACATCCACAGCCTCTTTCAAGACAAGCAGAAAATACCGAACGAGAAAAGCACCGACCACACGGCCTAAAGGCCCGGCTGAATCGGCAAGACGAAAAGCAGACGGCCGTGAAACTCCTAAATAATCCCTAAAAGTCGTAGAAAATAATAACCATACTCCCCAAGGATCCGCACCGATCTCCCGAAGGCCCGCGCGGTCCAAAAGCGCGCACAAGCCGCGGAGCACAGCAGCCAGGTCTCGCCGGAAACGCGGTTGCGTGCGCGCTGCGTCCCTGGAGCGCGGCAGGGCGGGGAGAAAGGCGGGGCGTCGTGTCGCCTGCGCAGTGGCCTGGGAGAGGAGTGAGCGGAAAACGGAGACGGTGGGGGCGGGGCTTGAGCTGCCGAATAGCCGCACGCGCCCGGCATCCCGGGGGCGGGGAGTGGGACGGTGCCTCGCCGCGAGTGCCGAAGGCGGGGAACGGGGCGGGGAATCTCTGTGCTTCCTCAGTCCCCAGGCCCTGCACCTGCAGGGCCGACCAGCTCCAGTCCGAGGTCCAATCCTGAGTGGCCAAAAGCCGGAAACCCGGAGCTGGAATTGGGTCTTGCACAAGCTGGACCACGTAAGCTGGGCCAGGCCGGAGGTGGAGGCCACCGCTACGGGAGGAGGGCATCTGAGGCTGGATTTTGAAGGACCCCATTAATAGAGGGTATAAACCAGATGCAGGCCATCAGGGAGGATTGTCACTGTAGCCCAATCTTGTTTGTTTACACCAGGAAGGGCCTGCCTTCTACCTGCAAGAAAATATGGCGGCTGCAGAATAATGTGACTCAATGCCAAATATCCGTTTGTTTTAGGGAGTGAGGCTACTTGAGAAGCATCTTAAAGGGGGAGAGAGCAAGTTAAATCTGATTTCCACGCAGCTCTGTGGATTCCGAATGTCCACGGCATGATGTTATCTCCAGTCCCACTTCCAAGTCGCTGCTGTTCCCTGTGTTTCCTGCACCACCACTCTCTCAGTTGCTCTACACTAAAATTTGCTGTCATCGTTGACTTCTCCCTCTCCTTCATCCCCTACAAGTATCAACATAGACAAATCCGATCAATATAATCATCAGTGAATAAAGCAAATTGCAGGGCATATTCTTAAAGACAGACTTTCCACTTGCAGCAGCACCTACCTTGCAGAGAGCTAAGCTGAAGCCCGTGTTTATCATAGCGGATTCTAACCAGCCAAAGCTGATAATGACTAAGAACTTGCAGGAGTTGCAGTATGCCAGACCTTCAATTTAATTGAAGACTTTCCTGAACAATTAATAAGGAGACTTGTCTTAACCTGCAGGGAATGGCTTTAGGGACGCATTCTTTCCTATGCAGGTGCAAGCCTAAAACCTTAATTAGGATCATCCACGATGATCCTCGAGCCCTTCCCTCACCTTATATTTGAAGAGGCTGAACCTCAGAGAATTAAATTACCTACAGTCCTGGTCACTGGTAGAGCTATTATTTAAAGGAAGGTCTAATGTTAAAGCCTACATCCTTAACTCTACCATATGCTGCTTCTTGTAGTGTCGTTCCTCAACCAGAACACATAGCTCTTCTGTGTAGGAAAAGTCCATCAAAACGTCACAAATTAAAGAAATTGGTTTCTGCTCTATTTCAATTCGTACCAGAGTAAATCAATCAATGATTTGTGTTTGGGAATGTTGCTAGCTGCCATTAACGTTGTTAAGAGATAGCTTAGCTTTTCACTGGGGGCCCACTGAGGTATCAGAATCCTGAAACACAAATGTGTCAAAAGGGTGTGATCAAGACCATGTCAGGGAATGTTAAGTTTTTAGTATTTGGTCACTGAGGCCTATCAGTAGGTTTGGGTGTTTTGTTTTGTTTTTCCCACAATGAGGCTTTGAGGAAGAATTGTGTCTGGTAGACAAACACAGGTACACAAACAAGTGTGTACTCACACAGCAAGAGCAGTAGAGATCATCTCCCACAACAGAAGAGCTCATGAAGAAAGGGAATTGAGCTTCAATTTAAGCATTAGTTTATCATTTTTGGAGCCTGAATGTGTTGAACTTTACAAATTAACAGGACCCTGAACAAAAATGTAAAACACAAATCCCAAGCTGCAGTCCGCCCAGGTAATTCATGTCTATCAAGTGTCTACAATACCAATTTCTACATCTTTGGGAGTATTTTACAGGTTTGTTTGAAGAGCAAGGTCAATACCTCTTTCCCCAAGAAATAAATCATTAAAAAAAAAAAAAAAAAAAAAAAAACGCCTTATTTTCTTAACCTACCCCATCTGCCACCTACTTCTAGATCATATTTATTGGAGCCATAAAAATATTAGCAAAAGCATATGCAGTGCTTATTATCTGCCACTGTTGGAAGTGCTTTACATATGTTAACTTACACTTCACTTCCAGCTCTGTGCAGTGAGGACTATGAATATCTCCTGCTTTTACACATGGAAGAAACTGAGGCACAGAGTACAAGGTCACACAGCAAATGGCAGAGCTGTCCTAACTGCATTTGTTTCTTGCAGTGAAGAGGTTTTTTCTGTGTCTTAGTCTGTCTCAACACAGTGACCACAGCGCTTGTGTTATAAGTCTTATTGTGCCATTTCTCTCCCCGAAACCCTCTGGTGGCAACCTTTTCTCAGGCAGTGCTTTGCAAAGCCCCACACATCCACCTCCCTGACATCAGCATCTTCTCTTTCCCCCTCACTGGTATTTCTTCCTTGCTCCCAGCTGCTTCATCTGCCGGGAACCCCTCCCCAGACAATCTTCCAGTTCACTCTCTCACCTCCTTTCTGTCTTTACGAAAATGTCACTTCTCAGAGAGGCCTTCCCTGATCACCTGATTTAAAACTTCAACTCATCTGCATTTCCCCCCAACAGCTTCTTTCCTTCCATGACAATTCCCTGCTAACCTGCTCCATAACTGGCTTAAACATTGTAGAGCCTACCTCCCCCTTTTTCGCGTGTTCGTTTCACGGGAGTGATAATTATGCAGCATTTAGCACAGTGCCTGACCCATAACCAGTACTCGGTAAACATGAATGGACAAGTAGATGTGGAATGAGAAATGAGAGGGGTGGTCGGCAGAGAGAACAAAGGCCACATGTACAGATTGCCCTGGCTGTACCCTGGGTCTGGTTCTTCCTATCTTGGCCTCGGCCAGATACACCTGTGTCCTTCTCACATACTTACTCCCACGCCCTCTGTCGAAGCTTAGGACATCCAGAGCTGCATTTGTGTCTTTCAGTGAAGAGTCTTTTAAAATCTGAGACAGCCTGTGAGCGGTGGCTCACGCCTGTAATCCCATCACTTTGGGAGGCTGAGGCACATGGATCACCTGAGGTCAGGAGTTCAAGACCAGCCTGGCCAACATGGGGAAACGCTGTCTCTACTAACAATACAAACAAAAAAAATAGCCGGGTGTGGTGGTGCACGCCTGCAATCCAAGCTACTCAGTAGGCTGAAAAGGAAGAATCACTTGAACCTAGGAGACAGAGGTTGCAGTAAGCCGAGATCACACCACTGCACTCCAGCCTGGGTGACAGATGGAGACTCCATTTCAAAAAAAAAAAAGAAAAAAAAAATTTGATTTAACATCATGTACCCTGTGTCATTCAAAAACTCAACATTTCACTAGAGTTATCAGTCAAGCTGCCCAAGACTGCCCCAGGCTATTGCATTTAATACGTTAATTTATTTACCAAAGCTCTGTATTTCAGAAGGGATTCTGTTTTTCCTTCTAGCCCCCAGAATCTAGGATAGCACCTGGCACACATGGTGAGCACTCACTACAGAGAAACAATGGAGCAAGGGAAGGTGGAGGTGAATGCTTACATATGGGGAATTGTATCAGGAAGGAGTGTATGTGTGATGAAAACCTGGTCTACATAAATAGCAAAGTTGATCATTCAACACGTGGACGGCTAAGACAATATGCAGAATATCCATTCCCAGGAGGAAAAGGGAAGCTATCAACCTGACCTCCCCAAAAGGATTCCATATTTTGATTTGAATTGTCATGTGGGAAATGCAGTGGCCTCCAGGTATACTACCTTCTCAGAGATCAGTGAGCAGACAGGCTCACAGATCAAATTAAAATGCTGGAATCTCTTATTTAAATCAATTTAAAGAAACAGTGAAAAGCAAGAGGAAAGTGGTGGTATAAGTAAACGCTGTTAAGAGAGGGTGCAAATCTGGTGGAAAATGCCCGCTACCTAAAGCCTGCCTCATACAACGTTTAAGGGGCTACCATCCCCCACCTGCCCCAGCCTCCCACCCCTCTCTGTAACATCAACTTTTCTGTGGATGGTGGTGCTGAAGACGAGAGGTTTGAGCAAGGAGACTCAGAAGCAAGGCGCCCTGCGCCAATGACACACACTTGCTCTGTCCGAGATGCAGGTACAAGCAAGCCTGGCAGAATTGAGCTTTGGCTGTTGGCCTGTGGAGAAACCATGGGTTTTACTGTGTTTCTTGGACAGAGGACACTTGGGGACAGAGGTGAATAACCTTATTTAGGACTTCATGACTATTTCATGCTTATGTATATTCTGTGCCCTGTATTTAGTGCCTCTTGGACATTTAATGTATCAAATATTTCATGCTCAGGTGTCTCATGTATACTTGGTGGCTAGGAATGTTAAGTATCCTGGACTTTATTCCTTTGTTTAACACATGTTCTATTTACTTACTACCTAACACATCTTGTAAGATCTGCCTATGTTTTAAAAACTTTAAGATTTATCTGTACTTAACTCGTACTGAAAAGCTTTCCCCTATGTCACAAACATATTAATCTTTAATAGTATTGAATACTCTCAGAAACCAATGTATTTTCCAACTTTCTTTTTACATGCCACATTAAAAAAACACCCTCTGGCTGGGTGCAGTGGCTCACACCTGCAATCTCAACATTTTGGGAGGCCAAGGCAGGCAGATCACTTGAGGTCAGGAGTTCGAGACCAGCCTGACCAACATGGTGAGACCTGGTCTCTACAAAAAAATACTAGCTGGGTGTGGGGGTGGATGCCTGTACTCATAGCTACTTAAGAGGCTGAGGCAGAAGAATTGCTTGAGCCCAGGAGTTCAAGGCTACGGGGAGCTGTAATCGTGCCACTACACAGGGTGACAGAGACCCAGTGTCTTAAAACAGACTTAAACAGCCAGTTTCAGCCTTTCAGTTAAACTTCGCACAAAGAATTTTAAGAGAGTTGCTCTGTCGCCCAGGCTGCAGCTCACGGCAACCTCTGCCTCCCGCGTTGAGGTGAGGCGGCGCCGCTGGAATTACAGGAACATGCCACAATACCCTACTATTTTTTGTATTTTTAGTAGACAGGGGTTTCACCACGTTGCCCAGGCTGTTCTCCAACTCCTGACCTTGTGATCCACCTACCTCGGCCTCTCAAAGTACTGGGATTACAGGGTAAGCCACAGCTCCCGGTCCCCACCAAGAATTTTAAACATTTGATGGGAATGGGTCCGGAATTGGTTCCTTCCAGGGCGTTTTTGGTCTCACCGACTTAATGAAGCCACGAACCCTCGCTGTCAGTGTTAGTTCTTAAAGATGGTATGTATAGAGTCTGCTCCTTCTGATGTTCGGACGTGTCCAGAGTTTCTTCCTTCTGGGGGGTTCAGTGGTCTCACAGGCCTCAGGAGTGAAGTCGTAGACCTTTGCTGTGAGTGTTACAGCTCTTAAAGGCGGCGTGCCCAGAGTTGTTCATCCCTCCTGGTGGGTTCGTGATCCCACTGGCTTCAGGAACGAAGGTGTAGACCTTAGCATTAAGTATTACAGCGCATAAAGGCTGGGCGTCCAAAATTGTTCTTCTCCCAGTGGGCTCGTGGGCT